CATGCAATCATTATATTTGTTTGTGTTTGTATCTCTTCCACAGGAGCTCCAAGCAGTGTATATGCTTAAAGATAGCCATTAGGCAAAGTGACACAGGCAGAAGGTACAACGGAGGGGAAGAGCAGTGAAGCACTGGAGGTTGTCCTACATTCCTTAAACTAGTTTACTGCCTTTGGATGTGGTTAAGATGTCCTGTCACCAGTTCCAGATCAAAGCAAGTGGAGGCCCTGAGCTAGGCGGCCTTGGGAGGCCCAAACTTAATAGCATCTGAGAATGAGAAACAAAATCTCTTTCTCTTCTTTACCTACTCAGTAAAAGTAGAACATTGCTGAAATTTTAGCATTGATAAAAAGATTGTTTATAAATTTATAACTTCTAATAAGTTTACAAAAGCATGGAACTAATGAAGCTGTTCACATGGAACATTCATAGGGGAATCATAACTAAATTATAAGATTACACTGTGTATAAAGTCAGAACACTTTCTTTGAAGCGTTTTAAAATGCAAACTTACCAATTACATCATTAAAATCAGTAAGTCACAGTTTATCATATTCTATGCAGAGAATGATTAGATCAGACAACCAATCTTGGGACTTTGTTGACCACAGATCATTTTTATTTATTTTATTTATTTATTTATAAAAACATTTTTATGCCGCCCCATTCGCCGAAGCCTCGGGGCGGCTTACAACAATAAATTAAAACCACATAAATTAAAATATACATATTAGAATAATAATAATAATTTAAAATGCAATATACACACAATATAAACCAGGACCCATTATTTTTATCTATTATTAAAAGCTCTTCTACCTCCTCCGGGACAGACATCCCTTGTAGTCTTTCACGTAGGTATGCCCCTGATTTTCATTGTTACAAGTGAAATAAAATTAATGGTAATTGTTTTAAAAATTGGCAGGAAGTCAACCCCCACCCCCCAATTATGAGACCCTGGGCTGCAGCCCACTCTGCACATATGTAAATCCGGCACTGCCTGTCCTCAGAAGTACAGTTTTTGCCAGACTGCAGAGGAGCACGCAGAAGCAAAGGAGATGCTATCTTGTCTTTCACCTCAGACAGCAAAATGACTTGGGATAGCTCTACTTATTGTATCCTAGCAAGATATTGTGAAGTAGGTTCAGAGATAGTGACTGACCTACAGTGACTGATCCCTTTTTCAACCAATCCAGGTGAGGCAGTGGCTGTGCTGAACCGGTGCCTGGCTGAGGTAATGGACTGGATGAGGGCCAGTAAACTGAAGCTCAATCCAGACAAGACAGAGATCCTGCTGGTGGGTGGTTCGAACTCCTGGGTAGGTGACTTGGATCTTGTCCTGAATGGGGTTGCACTCCCTCTAAAGGACAGGGTCTGCAGCTTGGGAGTGCTCCTCGACCTGGAGCTGGCTTTGGAAGCTCAAGTGTCAGCGGTGGCAAGGAGCGCTTTCCTTTAGCTTCGGCTAATCCATCAGCTGCGTCCCTACCTGGAGAACGACTGCCTAGCAACAGTGATGCATGCATTGGTTACTTCCCGGTCGGATTTCTGTAACGCGCTCTACGTGGGGCTGCCCTTGAAGATAGTCCAGATACTTCAGATGGTGCAAAATAGAGCAGCCAGGTTGCTGACAAGGACTGGGCGTTATTCTCATATAACCCCAGTCCTCTACCAGCTTCACTGGCTTCCCGTCAAAGTCCGGGCTCAATTCAAGGTGCAGGTAATCACTTATAAAGCCCTTAACAACTTGGGACACAGATACCTAAAGGAATGCCTGTGGCCATTTTTGCCCTCCCACCCCTTGAGATTGGCAGCAGAGGCTCTCCTCTAGGAGCCTTCCTTGAGAGATATTAGGGAGCAAAGTACCCGGAGGAGGGCTTTCTCTGCGGTAGGGCCCAGCCTATGGAATGTGCTCCCCAGAGAGGTCTGCCTGGAGCCGTCATTATTTGTTTTTCGGCGCCAGGCCAAGACCTTTTTATTAAAACAGTATTTTAATAATGTTTAATATTTATATATTTTAATTGTGCAGCCAGTGTGTTTCCAGGTTTTAATTGTAATTGTTTTATTTATTTATTTATTTATTTCTGTGAGCCGTCCCAAGGCTATGTAGCAAGGGGACGGCATATAAAAACTTTAAATAAATAAATAGTGAATTTCATGGCCAAGTAAAGATTTTATTCTGAGTCTCCCTCAGCCTAGTATGACTTTCTCTAGCCACAACCTTATACTAGCTCCTCGTAATCAGGAACCTCTACTGGCACAAAAACAAAACAAAAAAAGTTAACCACCCCTGATCATATGTAAAATGCCTTAACTCATTGTTGGGCCAAGATTCCACATCAGTTTTGGCCTCCTTTCAGAAATTAAGCCTCAGCGGTTGAGCTTTATAACCTCCTGGGTGCGGGGATAAATCGTTTTGTGAAAGAAATGTTGAGGTTGCTGTCTAAAAAGGTACTGCATTTGCTCCTTATCCCTAAACAACAAACAGAACATAGCTGATGGTTATAATTCCAGAATTTACCAGCTCTTAAATTTTGTCAGGATCTCAACCATCTTAGTGGATTTTACCCCTCCACAATCAATTGCCATGCTGCTTGGCTGACAGAATACTCTAACTTTCCGTATGAATTAGGAGCACAAATGACAAGGAAGCAAGAAACCTAAAACACAATCAGTGGCATCTAATAGCAGGGGTAGGTGGGCAGAACATCTGGGCAATGTTGCAGAATGGCACTGATGGAACTCCTTATGAGGAAGATGCTTCAGCAGATGATTTAACAGTGCACTTATGAGGGAACATCCTACCAAGGAGAAAATCAAGTATCTTTCCTTTAAAAGATACTTTGAAAGGGAGTGCTAATATAGTATTTCCTTCTATTAAAACAAAGCACCCCTTCCATTTTGGAGTTGTTTATGTGGTTTATTTATTCTATCCCGCTCTTCCTCTGAAAAGTTCAAGGGGATGCAGTCCCCTCCATTTTACCTCTCACAACAACACAGATATGCTGAGAGCATATGACTAGCCCAGGAAGTGTTGTGGCTGAAAGGGAATGCTAACTTTGGTCTCCTAATCTAAGCTCAATGCTCTGATTACTCCAGTACTTTGCTTCCCTTTCAAAAGCAACTCTTATCTCAGAATAGCAAACAAATATATTTTATAGTCACTTCCCATTTAGGAAAAAATGCTGTACTTCAAAATAGGTTTTATAGTGTTTACTTCCTTTTAGAATGTTGCTTTACTACACAAAGATTATATAGCACAAGTGAGATATGCAATAAAAAGTTGCTATGTGGAGTTTTCTTTTGTCAGTGTACCAACCTGCCAGCTATGCCCCTTTTTTAGGGTACTCCATTCCTTTTCCCTTCCCCTAATTTTCCTTCCCACCCACCCCTTAACAGTTGGTCAGCATTCCATGCCTAAGTAAGCTCAGGCTTCATTGAGCTATTTAGGTTTTTCTCTTTCTGCATCTATCTCTGTACTTGCATGTCTGCCTGCATATATATTTGCACCCCCAACCAATCACCTGGCACCCCATGCAGCCTTCAGGGTTGCCCACCCCACCTTATAGCAAACGATGAAAAACCGGGAGATTCCCCAAGCCTTCTGATGTCTGCCTCTTGTACACAGATGGTCCATTTCGACCACATAAAAATCCCCACTTACAAGGCTGACCTAAGAGATTTGCCGGCTGAGGTGGAGCAGCACATATTGCCCCTACTGTTCACCTCAGCACAGTACCCCATGCCAAACAAGTTATTTTGACACCTGAGACACAAATCCCCCTACTGTCTGGCAGTAAACTAAACTAACACAAAAACTATACTAAATTAAATAAGTTAGTTCAACAACATCCAAAATCAGCTGCCTCAGATACCATCTCACTCTGCCTGATGGTGCCAGCTCTGCACAACACTCAGAGAATTGACTTGCTATTGGTGTATGTATATGCATGTGTGCCTAAGTGTAAATATAGTATATGCATGTGTGCCTAAGTGTAAATTTCCAGTTTATGTACAGCGATTGTGAGCTGATATCCTTGGAAGGAGGGATCCAGCTGACCCATCCTTCCCTAACCTACAGTTTGACCTGAGTCTCCATCCAGACGAGATATGGGTTAACCATAGGTAGAGAGGAAAAACTGAAGAAGTCCTAAATTTGCAGCAGTCAGAGGGAAGCAGGCAGTGTTGTCAGAACCCTTTCTTAATTCCACAACAATGTTCTACATGATAAGACATTAAAATAGATATAAAAGTGCTTCTTACAGTATGCTGTAATGATTATAATGTTTGAAGCATGCATGCATGTTAAGAAAAATGTATTACTTCAAAATGAAAATACATAGTTTGTTTGGTATATCCTCTTTGCAAACTGACACTCTCAGTACAACCAAGCTATTTTAAAATATTCTTGTCATTTCCTAAAAATAAACTTGAACATGATACCTAGTGATCTAATATATAATAGGACTATGGAAATAAAAATAGATTTTCCTTTTTGTCAATTGTTGAATTTTAATGTAAACTAAGTTAATCTGCCATGTCACACTTTGCATATCACTTTATAGCTGTTGACTAGCAGTCTTCAATAGTCAAAGCTGTACCTGTATGTATATAAAATGCAATCCCCACACACTTCCCCTCTCCTTCAACTCTTTCTCAAACATAACAAAAGTGAGGTATTCATTCAAATAAACCAAATAATAATATATCATCAGCAAAGCCCATGCTATGTAGCAAAGCTGGTCCGGGAAAACATAGCTCCACTATTTTTAAAGGAGCAGAGCAGTTATTTATGAATAGCACCATAACATCTTGAACCTAAATGCTTTTCTCAAAATTAAAACGGTTCTGTGAAATCAAGTTGTACATATTTCAACTTTAAGATGTCAATCAGTACCAGTTCCTTTAGGAACCAGACTACCTCTACTGAAGCCAGAAAGAGCAGCTTTCAGTGTTATGGCAAATGCAGCAGAACTAAGAACATTCTACAATATGATACTTACCCTAATGTGATTCCCAGAGGCAGCTCTAAGTATTTAATCTCACCAAGGACTGTTTCGTATACATTATCTTTGTTTTCTTCCACATAGAAGCCTGCTGCATTTGGTCTGCTATTAGCGGCCATGGTCAAATATTAAACTATGCTGGCTCCAAGGGAGGATCATCTCTTTTTATTTATCATCGGAATGAAAGATGATCTTGCTAGCAAAATCAGCAATGAGGAAATCACAGTGGATTGACTGTGTGAGTGCTGAAGACTTTCTGACCTCAAGTGAGACACAGCTGTTGTTTCCTTGTAGTCTAGTAACCTATTGCATATAACACTGGACTCGCCTCCTTGAAGTCAGATCTGTTTCATGTAATGCAAAATAGATAAGTGAAACTACTGGAGGTATATACTTAATCTATCACACACAAGACACACACACCCATGATATCTCGGTGAAGCAGGGTTTAATTTAAAGAATGATGCTCTTAGCTTCCACATCCAGTTCTGAATATCTGCCCCCACTGCCCTAGCCAAAGGAGATAAAGTCACATTTTCCATGTTCAGCTTTTTCCTGTTGCCTTAAGAAAAGTCCACACAAACTGAGGAAACAGATTACTTTGGGGAAATACTGCAAAATGTAATAAGGTCAGCATGGCATGTGTTGCTCTGGTACTTTTTCATAGTGATCTCATCATCTTGCTAATAATGATATTAAAGCTAAGGTGTCATGAGCAGGAGTGTTGCCAAATGGAGCAGTCCTACATTTTGAAGTAAGTGCTGATTACCATCTAGTGCTGATTACCATCTAATGAGAGAGTCCCCTGTTAAACCAGAATCTGGACTCTGAAATTATCCAATTGCACTACTGTTGGTGGGGGATGGAGGGATAGAAACTGAGGATAAATATTTTCCTGCCACTTCTCTTCCCAGCTGTCCCTTAGCTCTCCAACCTCTCAGAATGTCTTTGACCTCCCTTTATTTTGCTTGACACAACAGCCTACTAATTTACCCATGTATGCATTTGTGTCAAGCTAGGTATTTAACTCTTTTATATACCATTCTATAGTAAAAACTGTCAGAATGGTGTATGCATTTTTACATGACACCAGTGCTTGTTGTGTCATCAAAATCCGGGTGTCAGTTGTGTGAAAGTTAGACAACCCTCAAAATCCATAGTTTACTTTAGGGCTATTTGAGTAACACTCAAACAGCCCTGCTGACTGGGTTTGAATGACATGCAAGCACATTAAGCAAGGCATTCCAAACGTCATACAAAAATGGTGCCCACAGATCCCTGAGACAACACAAGGGCCCCCACAGTTAAATTAACCTACAGTAGATGTGAACTGAACCAGGTCACACTTTGGAATTCTACAAGACACAGTGAAAGACATTTGTAATAATATAAACACTGTCTTGAAAAAACAGAAACTGCCATGCTAGATTGTTTGGGAAATAGATCCTAAAATTGCTGGAAAAACTACTGCTTTTCCTCTATGACCTAATTATTGAATTTTATTTCAAAATGCAAATATTTTATGTAAGTTTGATTTAAAATGATTAGGATTATCAATGAGGAACAGCTGTATATTCATAGTGAAAGCAACCTAATGTAACTTGTAATTTGATTAATAAAAGTTTCAGCTAATTGTTAGAAGGAAAACCCATCTATAAAGTTTTCTTGTTCATTCCCTTTCAAGTGGCCTCAAGAAAATAAGTATGCCTTTAACTTTCAACAGTTAAAAATGATCCTCTCTGATTAATCAATTGAGGGCACAAGTCAATGCCTTCTGAGAGAAAAATGAAGTCCTGTAACTTACAGCTTTTCCAACTAGCTATGGTGGGGAATGGTGGGAGCTGTAGTGCCTTTTTCTGTCTAAACACATGGATTGCATTCTTAGCACTGCAGTCCTGTGCATGCTTACTTAGAATTAAGTCCCATTGAATTTATTAGGTTTTAGTTCCAAGCAAAACATCACTAAGGCTGTAAATATGCAACTGTTTCATCTACCAATTAAGAACAGAGGTTGTGATGGATCTTTTTATGGGCATGGGAGCATTTATAAGGTATGCAGTGACTGTAATAATGCAAACGAAAGACCAAAATTGGCAGAATCAGATTGAATTGGGCAACAGTTGAATAACTCCCATGCTTCTAAGTGCCCTTTTCTCCTACAGTACTCAACGTCAAGGAAGTAGGTATCTTAAACTTGTAGACTTTAGAAAGATCAGATTTTTAGATTAATCTTTGCTACAAACTCAGTCACTGGCAATAGGCTACATTATCAAATCTGAATTTGAATAAGCAAAGGAATGGCTATTTTGAGGTAGATAGAGATTCCTTAAGCTATTACCCTAACACAGCATGCTTGTGACTGACTCATCCAGCCACTGGATGTCACACAAACACAGATGAAAGGATATCTTGAGAAGGAACAATTGCAATCTTGGAACTATATACATAAGAAAAGGGTTAAGTATTAACTTCAAGCTTATTGGAAAAACCTAACAAAGTTTGGTTATTATAAAATCATTAACCTTGACAAAATAATAACTAAAGGCTTGAATCAGTAATGACATGCAAGACTCAGACATACAGGTGAGTTTTGTCCTGGCCCTATGCCAGTCCTTGCCTCCAAGGAAACATACATTAGTGGAAAGAGATGTGCATGCATGACCTATGGGGTGAGGACATTAAGGAGAACATGCTAGCCAAAGTCAGGTTTATCCTCCTGTAGCATGCAATTCTTTCACTTATCTGACCTAATCTCATCTTTCTGAATACTTATAATAGAAGACTGGGGAATCTGTGGTACTCCATATTATGTTAGACTATAATTCCCATCAGCCCAGCCAGCATGGCCAATAATAGGTGATTAAGTAATCTAATAACATCCAGAGCCCTACAGGCTCCCCAGACATGTTTCAGTATGTGGTTTCCTGAGGGGATTATCCCCAGTCTGGCCTTCAATTCTTGTTGTATAACATGTCAGCTCCTTGGCAAGGGCTGCCCCAACACAGCACTCCCGGCACCTTTTGGTTCACCTTGGCATGGAATGGCTCCTGAGCCTCTCTGACTCAGTATTTTTCAAGAACTACTGTGTATTTAAAGCCTACAAGAGTGGACAGGAAGTTACTTGTCACTATTCTGAAAACTATTTACATGGGCATCTCAAAAAGTTTGTTGTGATACACATGAAGACACATGACATGATCATATTTATTTAATAGCTGGGAAGCATTTGAAAGAGCAAATATTTTTAAAACTTCACTACTGCAATTTGCAGCATAACACAACGTGTGTCAGCTTAGTTAAACCACGCAAACAGGAAAGAAGAGGAGGGTAGGGCAGTTATTCAGATTGCAGGAAGATCTTCGGTCAGTCTCTCTCTCTCTCTCTCTCTCTCTCTCATACATAAATGCAGAGAGAGAGAGAGAGAGAGAGAGACACCAACCTATCCCATAAGGTATTTCAGAGATAAAATGTAGTTGCCTGCATGTACACCATCCTGATCTTGCAGAAGGTAGCTCATCAGTGTAAGGTATAAATTGTGACTAATATATGTGAATAGAGGCAAAGCACCCTTTCCTCTGTTGCTCTGGTCCATTTGCCCCAGTACAGTGTAGGAAGTTGGTACTCAGAATTACCATTTTTTCCATCTGGCTCATGGCCTTTGCATATTTCACAATTCCACACCCCCACGGTCAAAGCTGTTGAAATCATGCTGTTCCTGTATTAGCATTGTGTTAGTGAAATGTCATGTGACTGTGAAGAATTGTTGATCTAGTAGAATGGTGATAAACAGGCAAAATCACCAGTGCATCGAGAAAGGCAGCCACTGAATTTACCAGGAGACTATGGTCCAGTCATTTTTTTTCTGGGCTAAGCTACATTACAGGGTTGTGGAAAAGATAAAATTGAATTGGGGGCTGGGTGGGGGGAACAATGCAATGTTACAATTTTACTGTGGATATCCTTCACATTCGCACTATACAACACTTCTCTTTCAGGTACTTTGCTGTGCAGCATCTGTAGTTATTCTGCCCCATCTCATGCCGTACCCTTGATTCTTATCAGTGTGTGGACTGTCTGTCAACTATGAAAGTCACATTCTTCTGCAGAAGATGTTCCATAGCAGAACTGGTTGTGGAAACAAACTCTGGGCCTAGGACCTGACAAACTTTGATACAAATTTAAACCTAGCTGCAATCTTCTAATGAGTTTCTTCCAACTGTTTGGCAACATTTGTGGACCTGCTTAAATTGTGATCCATCTATATCAATAGCAGACATGTTCTAATTCCTAACATTTTGGAAGTGAAATGGAGCCACCCCAAAATAACAATGGTTTCTGTATACTTGGAGGTCACCATAGGTGTGCAGAAGTATGCAAATTCATAAGAGTTCTGTTAAGGTTTTTAAAAATTGTATCACAAGGTCACATGAACTTCCAAAATTTATGGAAAGGCTGAGTTGTCAGGTGCGCAGGCAGAGGACTACTGGAGTTTATCCGGATAAGAGAAGGACTTGGCCTATGAAAGTCTCCCAAGAGGTTGTGCTATTGGGACTGGATAGGTGCCTGAAGTGAGGTTAAAAATAAACCCTTCCTAGTGCACCATCCAAGGTAGCTGCTCATAATGCTCCATACTCAGAGGGTTACAGGCATCCAATGGAGGGTGGGAGGAGCATCCCTCATCCTCCAAAACATTTAAGCTGGCAGATCCAGCCCTCCTAGGTATTTTAGCCCTACTCAGGAGAATAAGTCTGCCAATAAGGTTCCTAAGCCAGCTTAGACAGGTTCTAGAGGCCACAGGACTATATCCCTATAGTGTTGTTATACAGGGATACGTCCTGGGGATGGTCAAACTGTGGCATTTTGCATAACAAGCTTCTTTGCATGTAGCTACCAACCATCAATTTTCTCCAAAAATAGATTTGTCATATTACAGTGGTACCTCGGCTCACGAACGCCTAAGTTCACCACCAAATCGGGTTGTGAACAAAAATTTCATAAAAATTTTGACTTAGGTCGCGAACTCCACATTGGGTGGTGACCGCAATCTTGGCCATCTCCCCCCGCCAGCATGATCATGCCCGTCTCCCCCCCCCAGTGCGCCCACGTTCATGCCCGTCTCTCCCCGCCCCCCAGCACACCAGGATGATGGGCATGTGCAGGGATGACGGGCACGATCTCGGTCGTGTTTGGGGGGCGGGGAGATGGCCATGCTAGTGCTCGGGGTGGAGGGGGGGGGAGATGGCCATGATCTTTCGTTGTTCTT